ATGTATATTACTAGGTGAGTGGGGGGGAAGGAGTGAAGAAAGGACCAGTTGAGGGTAATTGTAAGGAAGTTCTAATAATAAATCACCAAATCTAAATAGGTAAGGTAGGAAGCAGGAATAGGAGGGAAGGAAGGGACAGATAATGATAGAGGGGTCAGTAGTTGACTGGAGATCTCTACAGAGTCTTTATAAAGTGAAAAAAAGTTGTGTAAGAAATATAGAAAATGCAGCTGGGCAGGGAATACATCTGTGCTTTTTCACTATGTCTGCTGAAAGCCCAATGTTTTATGGAGGGGGTAAAATGTGGGAGCTAGGTCCCATACACAAAACTATTTTATGAGCACTATTGCTAGGAGAGAAGTACATAAGGACTTATGATGTCCTTGACCATAACGTAGACTTTATGTCATACTTCCTAAGAAGAGCGTCCATAATTCTCATATGTTATTACCCTCTAGCATCCCTGGAAGACAGGAGTTGTGTGGTTGGTAGGCAACCGTCTATAGTGAGTAAAGAAGCCATTAAGCACATTAATGGTAAAACTGAGTTGAGAACCAATCCATAATTCTCATATGTTATTACCCTCCTAGCATCCCTGGAAGACAGGAGTTGTGTGGTTGATAGGCAACGGTCTATAGTGACTAAAGAAGTCATTAAGCACATTAATGGTAAAACTGAGTTGAGAACCAGTGCACTCCCTCACAAATTATTTTTGCCAGACTTAATGCTCCTCAAGTCACATAATGTGCACCTCTACCTAAGTCACCTGCACATCAGGTGGGCTGGGGTTTCACTGGCATCTCTATTTCAATTACTCTACTTTGTGCTTCTTACCCTGTCGAACCCGGATAGCAGCTATCTAGGGAGGATAAATTCTCAAAGGTGTGCCCTCAACAAGTAATTTTGGAATGAGAAGGTACACAGTAACTGAAAGCCATTTATCGTCTCTTCATTCTGGTGATCCTAGGCACAAAGCCAAAGCATTTATGGATGTGCTAAGTACTGGCACCAGCTCTTGTACTCAAAACTATTTCCTGAGCAACATTATACCCTGAGCAGAGATTCTGTCTGCTTTCATTTATTGCCTTTCTTCACCATTGTCGTCATAAGCCAACATTCATTGAATGTCCACATGATTTGGGCACTATATAACTCTATATTTATACTCTTAAAAAAAACACACAGTGATATAGTATAAAAAAGGAAAACATGAATATTATTCCTTTAAGAGGGCATTGTATGAAAGGGGAGCATAATGACAAGGAACTAGACACTGGAAATTATTTTATTTCACTTTTTATTAAGAATTTACTCTGCTTTTTTTGATAAAGTAACTGAAATAGAAATATTTCAGTCACGGCTACGCTATTTAAATCAACTGGCTTCCTGCATTAGTGAATTGGCTTTGGAAAATGGTTCCAGTAAAACAATATCTGCATCTCACTGTAGCTTCACCTTAATTTATAACAGCAGCACGTTCTGAGGTCCTCACAATTAAGTTTTAATTCAATAACGCCTGTTGGGATGACCCATTTCCTTTACAGAGCCCCAGAGAGGTTGAAAATACAGGCTTCAAGTGCCGCCTGGTGGCTGACAAGCAGAATAACCAAGTACGTATAATTTGGAGTCTGGAATAAACAGGCAGGCACATGCCAAATTTCTTTCCCTCATCTCATTTATTCATTCATTCATTTATAACATTTTTATCAAGATTTACCTGTTACGCACTTAAGATCAAAGTCAAATGTATCAAAAAGATAAATAGGATCAAAAGATAAACTCCTCTATGACATGAACTGTTTATAGTAAGTAGAATGTGGGTGAAAATGAGTAGTTTCAATCCTCCCTGCTAAGTGCTATTATAGTGGTATTTATTAAATTCCAATCAAGAAATGTGGGTCATCTTTATTTTTGTAGTAATTCTCATGGTAATTAATATTATCTACAAATTCCTGAAAAATAAAAGCAGCTATTTTCCACATAAGTGTAATTTATATAACTATATAAATCTAGAAAACACATAGTAAATACTTATTTTTAGAGTTCTTTCTAGGAGTAAAATTAATCCATATTGCTTTTTATGAATATCCATATTACTTTTTATGACTACCCTATTCATGGTATTTACAGTTTTAAAATTATTTTAATTCTTGCCAGGTCAGCATTATCAGATCTAATATGCAGATGAGGAAACTGAGGCAGAAGAGGCAGTCTTACCTGATAATTCAGTGTCATAGATGAGACTAGAACTTGAATTGTATTATTGCGCTTGTTCATTTTCTTGGTGGATTCATCCTATGACCTTGTGTGGTTTCTAATGGTAAATATGTGGGGTTTTATGAAGTCACTGAGTAACATGAGATAGCAATTTACAAGAAGGGTTAAAACACAAACGCGCACATTGGATCACTTCCAACATCAGCTACCTAGCAGCTGTCACAATTCTCTTGAGTTGGATGGAGCCTTTTATCAAGTTATGAAAAGTCCCATATCTAATTACCAGTCCCCAGCATCACCCAGGCCCTAGCTTGGCACTGTTCAACCAAATGATACACTTGTAATGACAAAGCAAAGTGAATACCTAAATAATTTAGTTGGGTCTTCTAATCCTAATAAAAAAAAAAGCTTATCATAAGCCTAATTAGTATTTTACTCACCCAATGAAGGCACGTAACAATAAATCTCCTATTGAATTTCCAACACTGAGAATGAAAGGTTGCAAGATTTTTAAAGAATGTATTCTTGGTTAACATGAATCAATGATGTGAGTCAAGATGTTCACAAAGTTGGTTTATTTGAAAGATAGCAATGGTTCTAGATGCAAACTACAAGACATTTAGAAGATGCCCCCCCAAAACCACCTAGAGATGGTGGGGGGAATTCTTGGCACTATCATTTTAAAGCTATGCTCTTTAGTATTTTCAATTGCTGTAAAGTATTTTCAATTCAATTATTTTTGTTCCATCTCAAAATATTTTTGCAACTTTTCCTTTTCTCATATTTTGTTCCATTGCTATGAGCAATTTTTGGTTTGCTTTTATATACAATACTATAAAACAAGAACTACCAGTTGTTTTTAACATTTCCTCTGTACCATGTTTCTTTTTTGATAAAGGGCAGCAGAATGATGAATATAACTATCATTTAACTTTAGATCATTGCTTTATGAGATGAAACAAAAAACTCTTTGGGGGTAGGTTTTGTGATTGTGTGTGTGTGCGTGTCTTAGGTTCAACATTTTACAAAATTAAGTCCAGTTGGTTCCAAGACTACACTTAAAATATAAATCACCAGACAGTAAAATTGTACCTCTGGAATCTGAACCAAAAATTGTGAAGCCTTTCCTCAAATATACTCAATTGTATTTTTACTTTCTTTTGTGCTTCTATGTTCATTCACTAGTTCATTCATTTATTTTGTTCACCCACAAATAAGTATGAGAGAGAGAGAGAGAAGAAAGTTCCCTCCCCTCTAGGAGATGCATGCATGCAAAAGTTCTAAAACTATTGTATTGAAATTATGCACAGGTGTTTCTGATAGAAAAGCAGCAGTGGGAAATCTAAATCCAAATAGAAATGCCAAGTAAGAGATAAGTAAAAGGGCTTTCTAGCTTGATGGACTTTCAACTGTATTTGAGGATAAACATATTTTGGGGAACTCTTTAGAGAAATTAGTAAACGTCTGATCAAGAGGGCATAGGTGCTATGGCTGAGTGTAAATTTTACCCTGCAAACCAGGAAAAACCATTGAAGTTTCAAGAAGGGGGATAAACTGACCAAGCTTGAACTTTAGTAAGGTCACTTAGGCAACTATGGAAGATACTGGAGGATGCATGGAGAACTAGAGCAAAGAGACATCAGATGCCTACTGCACTAACGTGGGCTTGAACTAAGGCAGTTAAGAGGGCAGGGAGGGGACACCTGACCACCTTGCCACTCAAAGTGGTCCTCGATCAGCAGCATAAGCATTGACTGGGTTTGTCAGAAATATAGACTCTTGTGCAACACCTCTTACCTTCTCAATCAGTATTTTAACAAGCTCCTGAGGTAATATGTATGTTTGGGAGGTACTGCTCACATTAAGGAATACAGTAGGGGTAGTTACTAGAAGGGAAAAAGTCACTATCTTAGGTGTGGTCAGTCTGAGGTGTTCGTGGAACATCCAAGGAAGCTGATCCATGGCAGATGGGCATATGGGCATGGAGGCTGGGTTGAAGTCTGGTTTGGTGATGCAATTTACAATTTATTGACCTGTTAGTATTTGAAGTCATGGTCCGACCTGTATCCTGGGATTTTCCCAGGGAAAGCGTATCATTAGTCAGGCAGAGGGCCCATGAGCAAGCCCTAAGAAATAGCATTATTTCCAGTCCCATACAGCAAAAGGTACTCCACGAGAAACAGAAGGAACTTCCAGTGGTAGGAATAAACACTGTGAGGAGTGGGAGGAAAGTCCCAGTGGCAGGATGCTCAACATTCTCAGTTTCCAGCAGAGGTCACGTAAGTACAGACAAGAGTCCGTTGGATTTGGCCATCTTGATGTCAGAGTAAAGCTATGGGTGCAGATTATTTCCCATTAAGTTCTTCCTTGACCTTAGTATGTGGGGATGTAATTTAGAGTTTCTGTTTTCAAAGTTCAGATGAGTAGATATGTGAGAGGAGCTTGGTATGAAGCCAGTTTGCAAATGTTCTCTCTTCCAATAGGATGGTAAATTCTTTGAGGAATAAGGAAGGCACATAGAGATGAGTAAGATTCAGTCCTAACTCCCAGAGTTTATAACAAATAAGACAACTGTAGTACAAGATGGGACATGTATTATAAAATAGTATAGGGATTCAGAGAAACACACCATATCTAGACAATCAGAAGAGGCAGCTTATTTCTCCTCAGTTGTTAGCACAGAAACATGTACATACTTAACAAACTATATTATTTGATGACTTTCTCTCAACAAATCTGGTGCATTGTTGAAAAGTCCCATTTATTCCAAGATCCAAGGAAACTTCAAACTCATTCATGAGATATTTATTAAAATAACACATTTAGGGGAAAAAAATCAATACAATGTATACATCATTACCGAAAACTGTATACCATCATACAAAAAAGGATTTTATTTTGGGAAAGCGATTCCTAATTTATGGCAAGTTTTACTTTCAGAAATAAGACCACAAAACAACACAATCTAATTCAATCTTAAAGGCTGGCATGCTGAGCAAGGAATGTTCTTATTCTTTGTAGAAGCTCCTTCTTTACACTGTCAGGTACCAGGGCTGAAATATAAAAATAAAAATATAAGAGTAAGAAGATTCCAATGAATATATGCCAATTTTAGGTTTGATGTCTTATTCAGGATGACCAATCCAAAATTTATAATCAATTTTATAAATACCCTCATGAGCTTTAATAACAAATTAGATAAACATCTGAAAAAATAAAGTATATTTTCATTTATTATTTGAGTGAAATGACGAAATACATTGAACACAGAGAAGAAAACATGGGAAAATTCTTTAAATGAAGTGAAAAACGGCCTTTTTAAAACACAGAGGCTATAACAGATTGATAAATTTAATTCAAATGCAACAGCAACTTAATAAGCTTGGTCAAAATCACTGTAAACAAAGGCAAAAGACAAAAACTGGGAAATCACTTTTACAGAAATGGGCTAATCTCTCTACTCTAAAATTTCTTCAATTTGCTAAGATCAGCAGGCTGTTAGAAAAACGAGCACAGGCGATGAAGAAAAGGAGAAACACAGAGTTCTTGAACATAAGAGGGGATAAACCTTACAAGAGAAATGAAAATTAAAACCACATTCAGATAACATGTTTTACCAATCAGATTGGCTAAAATCCAAAGGTTAATAATATACTGTGTTGGCAAGACTGAGGGAAAAACTAGCACTCTCATATTAGCTGGTGGGAGTATAAACTGTTCCAACATTTTTTGGAAGGTAATTCGACAATATTTTATAGAAATAAATGCATATACTCTCTGACTCAGCAAAGATGCAAAACCACAACAGTGGTTACATTTCCTATATTTTTACTTAACAAATTTGAACCATATGACTGTACTATCTATTTGGAGTATTAAAAAAAAAAAAAACGAAAAGAAAAAAAAAAGCCCTGCTCTTGGAAATTTTATTATTAAATATCAATAAATCTACATTACTGTTCCTTTTCTAATTGCCTAATAAATAAGGGCAATAGAGAATTAACTAACACTTCTAACACTATGTGCTTGTATTCAGAGGAAATGGAAAGCTTCAGATATAGTTAAATATTTCTATAAGAATTTCAGAAATAAGCACACAAATCAGATGAGACAGGTACTCCTCTATAAATTGTTTAGTTTCAGCCTGTCTAGAAATAGAGACTACATGGTTAATTCAAGTCCACTGGAACTGTGATCAATATGTATATTAAACATACTTTTAGGTGATGAAGAACAGATCAGTTGCCTTGGGGATAGGGATAGGGTGTGAATGAATACAAAGGTATCGCTTGAAGGGAGTGGTGGGTATATGAATTCATACATGTGTATAAAATTCACAGAACTGCACACTAAAACGGTCAATTTTACTGTATATTTAAAAAAGTAAAATGCTTCTACTCTTCACAATAAAGAAGACTAAGAGAACAAATTTATTTTCACTTCTCTTTTCTTTATTTACTCATTCTCTAGCAGGGGAGCTACAAAGAACTGATATGTCCAAGATACCAGTGTTCAAGGAGGAGCAAAGGACAATTTCTACCCTGTATAACCGGTTCCTAAGTAATGTTAACAAATTAGGCATAAATTACTGAAGGAAAATAGAAAACAAGTTTAGGGAAAATTATTTTAAAATGTAAAGTCATGGGGGGAACAATAAATAGTGTTGGTTTTATTTTTCTTTTCTGAGATATGTGTAAAGAAAAGGTCAGGTTTTTGTAGCTGTAACTAGGCCAAAAGATATGATGGAAAGAACCAAGGGATTCCTAGCTCCTTTCTAACAGGTAAGCAGTTTGGGGAATGAGTAGTTTCTAAGAATAATTTTCAAACATATTTACTTATTTACATTTAAATTATTTTTAGTATTTTTGTGTGAGAAAACAATAGGTCATCTAATTTACCTGGTTTCACTTAAACTTTCTCAAAGTAAATGGGGAAAAAAATGTAGGTCCATCTAAGATAAGAATATAATGTAGTTTCCTGACACTATTTATTGCATAACGTCGATGTTAACATACTTCCTTTCTTTCCTTTGCTTTCTGTAAACAAGGCATTAAAGGGAGAAATTAGGTGGTCGCAGGGTGAATCTTAATTATGGATTACCCTGAATATGAAGTTATGGTGCTACTACATTCTTAATTAGACATTCAAGAAGACAGAGCTTTGTTTATTTTTAATAAGCAAAGTGATAGCAGAGCAATGACTCACGGACCAGAGTAAAACTTTGAATTATTAAATATTAAGTGAAGTCAGGCCATATTTAATAGTTTATAAATCGTAGCTTCAGGTATATTTACCTCTACAAGATCCCATATTTTAAAAAATATCTTTCTTACCAATCATGTCAATTTCTTTGTATACTGTTTCAGAGTGCAAAACATTTTACACCTCTTATCTCATCTGTTACTCAAAATCATGCTAGGGAGGCAGTGAGACAATTATAATTGTTCCCAATGAGGGAACATCAACTCTCCAAATAATTTTGGAAAAGTTGTTTTTCTTTGTAGGAAGAAAGAAAAGCTGAACCAGCATGACAGAAAAAAATCATGTCTTTAGCACACGTTTCCTTTCACACAATTTATATTCCTTACCTCTGCCTTTTGGTGTGATTTCAGCCACCAAGTCATCAACAGTAACGTGTTCTAGTCCTTTTTCTTTAATTACCTCTTATGCAAAAGCAAAAAACAAATCATATCATTTAAAATCATTATCTGTAAGAAAGATTTTCATAGAGGAAGGGTTAAGATCATGTTTTTAGAGTACAGATTGGTCTTTAAAAAAAAAAGAGGACACTTCTTTTTTAATGAATATTTAGTTCAACTTTAAACACATTAAGTATTCACCAGATAATATCATAAAAGCCTGTTCATCTCTCAGCTAAATAACTTTAGCTTAACAAATATAGCACAGAATGAATTTGAACTGTAAGGTCAAATCTAACAGTTATAAAAAGCTAGAAATTTATAACTGCACAGATCTTATTTCACTGTTATCATACTAGCTCTTAAATGTGTGGAGGGGGAATAAGCTATTATTTGTGTCCAATTTAAAATTTCATAGCCCAAAATGAAAATACAAAACTCCTTTGCTCCTTTCTCTTCTCTAGACTGGGCCAAAAGAAACAAGAGGGAAAGTAGTTAATGTTTACTGAACCCCTACTGTGTGCTGGATGCTTTATATCAGTTAATATTCACAATAATGAAATGGGCTGGGCATTTTTCCCACTTCACAGATGAGGCAACTGAAGCATAAAGATTAAATAACTCATCCAAACATGAGTTGAAATACAGCTCTAGTCTTTTATCAGTGAAGATCTGTATGACCTCAAAGTCTATGCTTTTACTGATTTGTCATAATTAGTTAATGTTATAAATAGTCACTATTATCATTACTTGTAGAAACCATTACAATACAATGGGAAATCATTAAAAATAACCAAAATGCTATTATCCTAAAAGCTGAGCCAGAAAGGAGGCTTGTCATAGTGACATGTGTAATCTGTCTAATGGAATCATCATCAACATTAAGCAATTTAACAAGCCCCCATTGTACATTTAAAAAAATAAGTATAATTCTCTAAGAGCTTTTAACATGAATTTTTCAAAATAACACTGTCAAAGACAAGAGAGATAATTCCTAAATGTCTAACAACCATAAAGTACTCAGTTGGTTAATTAAAACATATTAGGAATAAGGAATGTTTCATTTTGAACGGGCACACTGAAAAGGTGAGATTCCACATTTTAAAGCCATAAAAAATCCTGCTTCACTTGTTTTAAGAGAAATACACAAAATTTTTTTATAAATTTAGGAATTAGGTCTACATATTATCACAGAGGAGGAAATCATCACTACAAGAGTCAATTTTCCATTTGTTTAAAATTATGTCTGACCACTTATATACCTTTACAATACTGACTGTAATTTTTCTAGTGAACCTCAAACCAACACAGAGAACAATGGAATTAGCTTATCTTCTAAATGAAACTGATTACCTTTACAGTGTGCCTTCAATTGATCCTTCCAGCCACATTCAATTAATTTAGCTCTCAGCAACTCTTTGAGGCTGTGTAGAAAAAAAAAAGTGTTTTCAAATTAAACTACAACAATGTGCAATATCTCAGATAGGAACGTTTGAATCAAAAGCTCAACCCTTCAATTAAAAATTCCCTGCTTGCCAGTCACAAAACTTCAACCATGTCCTGATCCTGGTTCTATCACGAAATAGTTTAAATAGTTCTTTGATCTTGTGGGGACATGGCCTCATTTTCATTACTAGCAAAGTAAAATAAAGCAGATGGGGCACAATACTTCTCAAGAAACTCTACTCTGGCCTTCTTACACCCTGTCTACCTCCCTCCACCAACAGAAATATTGTGAGGCTATAAACCTTTTGGAAGATATTAGTTGAGCTTGGAGCAGCTGCACCTCTGAAATCTTCAAACTCCAAAATCCCTTCCTTGACTACAAATTCTTATCCTTTAATTCTCTTACTTCCCCATTATTTCTCTCTCTAATCTCAAAGATTCCCCTCCCTTTTTCCATTAACCTTCTAAATGATACATCAATTATGTATTTCATGAATCTAACACTTTACCCCCCACATTTTAACAATTCAGTAAATGGCATGCCTATCATAATTTAAATTTTTTTATTGATTTTTAGAGAGGGAGGTAGGAAAGGTAGGACGAGAGGGAAGGAGGGAAGGAGGGAATGAGGGGGAGAAGGGGAAAGAGGGGGGAGGAGGGGAAGGAGGGGAGAGGAGGGGGAGGAGGGGAAGGAGGGAAAGGGGAAGAGGGAGAGGGAGAGAGAGGAAGAGAGATAGATTTGTTGTTCCATTGACTTGATGCATTCATTGATTGATTCTTGTATATGCTCTGACCTGGGATCAACCCTGAAACCTTGGCTTATGGGAAGACGCTCCAACCAACCAAGCTACCTGGCCAGGGCCCTATCATAATTTAATTAGCAGGGTTTTCTTGTTTCTTACTGGTTTAAAAAAAAGGCGTATATTGCAACTAATGGCATCATGGATGTAATAAAATAGTTTATCAGTACTTTCTGTTCCTTTTCCATACCCACTCTAAAAAATCCTCAATCTTCTACCTAAATCATCTTATTTCTCAGCTTAAAACATGTCATATTCCAAACCAAACTGCTTCTTTCAATATTCCTGTATCTCCACCATGTGGCATTTTCATCTCAATATTTAATCAGGTCATTCAATCTTCACCGGGCTCAAGCCCAGCTCATGCTCCTCTCCACCCTCAACCTGTTCTGTTCTCCTTGTCACGATGGCAATTCCATGCTTCCAGTCCCTCAGGCTAGAAATCTTGGCAGCGTCCTTCACTGCAACTTTGCTCGCACTACACATCCAACAAATGAGCAAGTCCTACTGGTTCCAGTTCTAAAATAAGTACCTGCACCCATGTTTTGTATCACCTCTGCCCTGTGCAAGCTACCACCTTGCCTTGACTGGACTATTCCCAAAGCCTCTAACTTGTTCCCCTGCTTGTTCTCCTTGCACACTTCCATTCTCTTCCCACTGCTCAAAACTCTCCAGTGGCTTCCTAATTTACCCAGAAGAAACTCCAAGTTTTACTACAGCCTAAATGACCCTCCATGATCTGCCCCCTCCCCAGCTGTGCCCTGACTTCCTTCTTTCCCTCTTCCAATTTATTCAGTCTCATTAGCTTCCGTGTGCTCCTCAAAATGCCCCAAAAATTCCTATCTTGGGACCTTGGCTTTTGGAGTCCCTCCATCTCCCTCATGTCCTTCTGATCTCTTATCAGTGAAGCCCTGTTTTTTCTTCCCAAAATAACATACCCCATTATTCTCTGCTTTGTTTCTCTAGAACTCATCATTACCTGACATATTAGACATTTCTTGTCTGTTTTCCCCCATTAGGATGCAAGTTCCATGAAAGGACAGACTTCACTTTGTTCACTACTATAACTTCAGCACCTTAACAGGACGTGGCATGTGGTAGAAACTCAGTAACTAAGCTACATGAAATAAACAAACAAATACATAGTCCCCTAGACTCATTACTGGCAATACTATCCTCTCAGTTTCCCAAGGCACCTTTCTAGTTTCCACCTTCTTCCTCATCTCTGATTTTACTTAGAAAACAAAAAACCACAACCTGAGTTTTCCTTTTCATTTTACTGTTTTTCATTTTTAACCCAATATAATCTTCTGCATTCTGTCTCTAATGCTTCCAGTCTATGCTCCACTCTGCCAGAGTAACATTCCTAAAGTGCAAATGTGATCTAGTCATTCCCTTAAAAAAACCTTTTAATGCCTCCCAACAGCCAAGAATAAAATCAACAACAGATGTTTTTGAAAACCCACCACTCATTTTTCTGTCCTTTTTTTGACAGAAGAAAAACAAAAAAACCTCTACCACTCTCAGTGTAAGAAATCTGGGTAGGGTTCTGGTGATGGACATGTGACCTAGGCAAGGGTGACCACGACTGGCCTATTACCTAAGTGAGATGGTAATCAGGGCAGGTCTTTATTGAAACTATCAGGAGGAAGGTAGTCTGAGCCAGAGGGGTATACATTTTGAACCACTGATCTCTGTAGGGAGAGCCTGCCTGAGAATAAAGCCAACACAGAGGAAAGCAGAGCTGAGAGGCAAAGAAAGATATATTGTTGACAATAATTTTTGAGTGCCTGAAGCCAGCGGTGCCTGAAGCAATTTTAAGCTCTAGACTTTTCAGTTAGAAGAGCTTATGTATTTCCATTGGTTAAGCCAGTTTCTATCATTTTCAACTAAAAAAAAGCTGACTTATACAAAATCTACTCCTCCTGTCCACACAGCTTTTACCCTTTACCTCTTCCTAGCTTTGATTCTGCACTTCCCCAGAAGCTGTGATTTTGCACATTGTTCCATCTGCCTAGATTGTCTTCTCTACTTTTTTGGCTTGAAGAACTGCTAATCCTTCTCCCCCAGCTGAAGTACCTCTTTTACTATGGTGAGATCTTAACTGATCACCTTAACCCGCAGGTGGAATTGAAAGATCCCTCCTGTTCCCTATATATACTTCCCTCACAATTTATCACCCTGTTTCTGGAAGCCTTTCTTGATTCCTGTGAGATCTTAACTGATCACCTTAACCCGCACCTGTTAAGGTGCTGAAGTTATATAGTGAGCAAATTTATCACCCTGTTTCTGGAAGCCTTTCTTGATTCCTCAGCCTCTCCTTTGTACCTGCAAACCTTTGTGCTCATTTTTCCAAATATTTACTTGGCCAATTAAGAACGAGGCGTGATAATGGATATACACTGGTATTTCTGCTGTCAAGTAATTTAGATTATATTGAAGGATACAAACTAGCTAAGTAGGTGGTCATAATACAATGTTAAATGTTCTGATAGACCAGGATACTCAAAAGAAATATTTAAATTAAGACTTGAAAGATGAGCTAGACGTAGCTAAAGATTAGGAGAAAAAGAAAGGAATATTTCAGATGGTAGGAATAGTACATGCTACTGAGGTTAAGAGAACTTGGCAATGCCCTGGCTGTGGTGGCTCAGCTGGCTGAAGCGTTGTCCCACACATCCAAAGGTCTCAGGTTCAATCCCAGTCTCGGTGCGAGGAGACCGATCAATATTCCTCTGCCCCCTTTCCTTCCTCTCTCTCTAAAATTAATAGAAACATATCCTTGGATGAATATTAAAAAAGAGCTTGGTAACTAATACTGGTTCTATTATGCTGTCTCCCTGTTAAAAAGTGGGTAACATTATGTCTCCAACTGTCGTTATTTAGGAATTTTTTTGCTATTATACAATCTCTGAGAGTCATTTCTTGTTCATCTTTCTACATCACTCACTTCCCTCTAATTTCTTGCAATACTGAATAGGCCTGCCTATCGTTTACACATGTTAGGAACTGAAGCTTTTGACAATCTATTTTTCTGTAATTCTTTCCACTGACATCAGTCTTGTTCCTTCATATTTCGATTCTTGTAGATACAGTAACCGTAACTTAAAGGCGTTAAATACAATTTACCCACAAAGTCTCTTACTTACCGTTCTCTTTCTCCAGTTTCTATCAACTTTTGGTTAATCGCTGCTCTCATCTGCGCATCTTTGTTCATCTTGCTAACCTGAACATCAACAGGCATTTTCAGACACAGAGCACTTACAAAGCATTCCCTCCTAAATCCTCTAGGCAAGCACTGCCACACCTTTACCGTGCTATCGGCTGAAGGGGCGATAAATACCAACAATGCGTTAACGACGTCATTACTCTCCATATTTTCGGCATCCCCAGGAGGCACACTGATAAGCTCCCTGAACAGCTTCCTCCCCCCGGATGCCCTTTATTAAAACGAGTCTGGAAGTAGCAAGTATCGTCACATGTATTAAGACACACGTATGTGCCTAGTGCCGGGCTAACACATTGTTGTTGCTTTTTTTTTTTTTTTTAACTCATTCCACTCCCAGAACCTATTATTTCATAGAAGTATGATTAACATCATCTGTGTTTTACAGGTGAGGAAACTGAGGCACTGAGACAAGAAAGTCATGAAAAAGTCGGTTTTGCACTCGGGTGGCTTTGACCCCGCCCCCCAAACACTTCCAGGGCTCATCACGACCGACTGCGAGCGGTTTCTGTTCAAAATTTTTGGGGAAGCCATGCTAGTCTAGGATATGTTGGTGAAAAGTGCAATTTCCAGGTTAAGTTAAGTGCTTCCCTTCTCACGGGGACGTGTCCTGAATCGCGACGACTAAACCTGCTGTTTGAGTATATTTGTGCTCTTTCTTGATCAAAGGGGGAAACAAACCCCAAACGAAGTCCTCACTTGGAGCATTCTCACTTTCCGGTAAAAACAGCCAGCCCAGCCCAAAATGGTGCAGAAAGCAGAGGGAGGCGAGGCTGGGAGGCTTGGAACCAGCCGGCACCTGTCAGTCGCTTCAGACCACTTTGCAGCCTGCCATGTGCCCTTTTGGGAAAACGCAGGCTGGCATGACTTCTCAGAGTTGAAATTTCTTTCTTTTTTCCCAAGTGCAAAGGGAAAAGGAGGGGTTGAGAAAGGACTAGGACATGTTTGCTTTTGCAGCTGGAGGTTTAACATTTTCAAAAGCAATTCTGAGGTCCAGTCAGGACCATGCCCAGAATATTGAACTGAATCTCGCCCCGGCCCCTCCAATACGGACAGTGACCTTGGACAAGTCGGTTCCGAAAGACCTCAGTTTTCTCACCGGTGACACAAGGGCGCTAGGGGATCCCTCCCGGTCCAGTCATTCCTGGGGAAAGCAGAACGGGGCGGAGACAGCGGAGAGGCGGGAGGGGAGGAGCCAGAAAACAAAGCGAGGACTGGCTCCGGGCCAACTCCGGTAGCACGCCCAGTCGGAGAGCCCTACAGGCCCGCGAGCGCGGGTCGGGGAAGCGAACGAAAGACAGCACATCGAAAGGAGCCTGGGCCGGGCCCGGGTCCCGGCCCTGAGGACCACGGGCATAGCTCACCACCATCACCGCGGGCGAGGGCCGTCCCTTCCCAGCGACGAAATGACCCTTGCGCTGGCGACCGTTACCTACCACACTCTTCGGCTGCCCGGACTTAGACCCTCAGTAGCTCGGGCGCCTAAGCACACAGAAAGCTAGAACACGCATTTCCGGGGCGGGGCCTCGCCACCCTGCCTATAAGATGAGAATTTAACCAGCGCGGGCCGCCTCCTGGCCGCTCAGCCCTCTGGGTAAGAGAGTCCAGCCCCCGCTGTCGCGCTGGGCGGTGCTTTCTCTGGAAACTACGCATCCCGGCATGCAACAGTCAACTCGCTCACGGGCACTACATTTCCCAGAAGGCATGCTGCACCGCAGTGTTTAATGGGATGGGACCCACGCAGCCTCCCAGCCTCGGTGCAACGAGGGAAGCGCGGACCTTTCAACAAGAGCTTTATTAATTCTCCCGCTAGGAACCTGGAAGGCGATGGAGGTGGCCGCTAATTGCTCGCTGCGGGTGAAGAGACCCCTGTTGGACCCCCGATTCGAGGGTTACAAACTCTCCCTCGAGCCGCTGCCCTGTTACCAGCTGGAACTAGACGCAGGTGGGAAGCGGCGGCGTCCCCTTGCACTCTTTTCCTCTTCCCTTTCGGATGCCAAGGGCCAGACCCTTCCCGCATTTTCTTCCTTTCCGACTCGGGGCCTTCCTTACGGCCCGTCGGGCTGGGGTGGACACCGGGTGGCGGTTTCTGGAGAAGGACGTCCATCCCGGACCTTCGTGGGAGCCACCTTCGCGCGGCTCTTCTGTGGCGGGACCACGGGCCGGCACTGGGCTGGGCCGCTGGGCTCCGGGGCCCGGCACGCAGGTGCTGCTCGGGCCGAGACCGCCTGTCCGTCCTGGCCTGGCCCCTGCTGCGGAGAAAGCTCACAACTTGCTTTCCCCTGGGCCTGGAGCATCCATCCTCTGTGAACCTGTGCGTTGAGAAGCCACACCTCTTTGGGACCCCAGCTCCTGCTCTCTGGCTGAGTCCGACCCATTTCTTAAAAGAGGAACCCCACTGTAGTTCTGAGCAGGTGCAGTTACCTGGGTGATGTTAGCCTAAGGACTGTATTGTAGAGAACATCTCCAGAAAGTTGTGAGGAAGAGTTGGTTTTCGTACCCATACTTCTTAGGACTTGTTTTGTGTGTCTGTAGCAGGCCAGCTAGTCACCACTTTACCTTTCTTTTTGTTTTTTTTTAAATATATCTATTGATTTCAGAGAGGAAGGGAGGAGAGAGAGAAACATCCATGATGAGAGAGAATCATTGATGTGCTGCCTCCTGCACGCCCCCTATTGGGGATGGACGGAATTGAACCTGGGACCCTTCAGTCCGCAGGCTGACGCTCTATCCACTGAGCCAAGCCGGCCAGGGCCACTTTACCTTTTTTTTAAAAAAAACACACAAGGTGGAGAATGGCATTTTCATTGAGGATAGAGAGCCCAGAGATTTGCATTTTTAATACACACCCCTGCTGATTCTGGTGCATGTTGACAGTAGATCACACTTTGAGAAATACTGATCTACAGTTGATGAATAGATTTTATAGTGTCAAATAATGTGTTTAATTCATTTATAAAATTCAGAAACATCTATTGGGACCCTGTTTTATGTTACATGCTAACATCAAGATGAGTATGACAGTCTGTAACATAAAGGTGCAATTATCTAGTTGGGAGGAAAAGTAAACAGATAATTATAAAGCAGTGTGGTAAGGCAGTGATTGGGATATGTACACAACATAACGGTAGTACTTAATCTTTCCAAACCAGCCCGGGAGATCTGGGAAAGCTTCCTGGAGGAATCGATATCTAAGTTGCACTTTGGAGGCTAGGTAAGAGTTGAGCAGGGTAAGATACAATGAGCTTGGTTTTTCTTTTCCATTCCCTCTCCCACTCCATATCAGTAAATGGTACCACCATGTTTAGTTTATGCATTTAAGAAGTCATCCCAGCCCTAGCCTGTTTGGCTCAGTGGATAGAGCGTCGGCCTGCGGACTGAAGGGTCCTGGGTTCGATTCTGGTCGAGGGTACATGTCTGGGTTGTGGGCTCGATCCCGATCCCCTGTGTGGGGCATCCAGGAGGCAGCCAATCAGTGAATCTCATCACCTACAGGTCAGGTAAGTGGTTCTAGGTGTGGCTTGGGCTCCTCCGTACACTTTTGTTCAATAATGGGTCTGCTAGGCGTCTCTGCTCATCTTGGCTGGACTTCCTCATACGTTTAGGGGTTCTTTGGCTATAGACTGGCTTAAGGTTATTTCAGATGGTCCCCACTTAGCTCTACTCCACTCGATCTCTCATTCTTTAGCCGGCTAGTCCAGGCTTATTCCAAGAGACAAGTAGCAGTGCACAAACACTTTTTCAAGCTACTGCTTGGAATAAGTTTGCTGTTGTCCCATTGTGTGGAGAGCGGCTACAGCGTTTGGACAGGTTGAAGCCTGGGACTAATAGGCGGGCACGCTCCTCTCGTGGCAACATTGTAACCACGCCCTTACTTTGCCTTGTGGAATCTGGCATTAAATAAAGACAGGGCTTTCAGGAGAGAGGACAGCGTCTCACCTAGACCCAGCTTTTTTACTAAGTGATACAGGCTGCAGGAGGTGCAGCAAGTAAACAAAGCTTGACCAGGTGGGTATAATTGAGTAGATTTGAAACTCACGAGAACATTTTAACCACGCCCTTACTTTGCCTTGTGGAATCTGGCATTAAATAAAGACAGGGCTTTCAGGAGAGAGGACAGCGTCTCACCTAGACCCAGCTTTTTTCTCTTGTCTGTGTTTTCTCAATCCTTCACCACCCCCTTCTCAGGCTCACCGAACCTGGCTGTCCTGGCTCAGCACATATGGCACCCAACGTGGGGCTGAGTATGCCATGGCCATGCCAGCTCGGCACACCACTGGCCTAAGCAAATCATATAATCATGTCTAGAATAATTATAGCCACCTCACACCACATGGCATTGACCCAGGGAGGCATAAAAAGTTGGGACCATTAGTGCAGGTCTATGTAGTTGCTTATGTTGACGTCATGGAGTTATTTCTTCATTAAACCCGCCTGTTCAATCTTTCAGCAAATCCGGTAGAAGATTTTGGCTTCTTCATGCCTCTATCCTTGTCTAAATCACAGTTATCTCTTACCTGAACTGTAGTAGCTTCCTTGACTATCCTTCCTGTCTTCATTTTTGGGCTCCTTCATTGTATTCTCCATAGGCAGTACAATCATAGTTTTAAATCTGTATTTATTTGATATCTGTTTGTTTCACTAGACTGTGAGCTCCATGAAGACGGTGTTTCTCCTTTACTCACTACTCTGCCATTGCTCTTAGCATAGCAGATGCTCAATAAATTGAGTGAATGAAGGAGAGAAGGAGGAAAAAAAATCTCCTGGGAAAGTGAGACAGGACTGATTTCTTCATGGGGCCCTTCAATAAAAAATAAAACTCACCCATCATAAAAAGCCCAATTTCTTAATTTGCCAAGTGGAGATGTTTCTTAAAAACTGTCATGTAACCCAGCAGGTGTGGCTCAGTGCTTGACCGTGGGCTCATGAACCAGGAAGTGAAGGTTTGATTTCTGGTTAGGACACATGCCTGGGTTTCCGGCTAGATCTTCAGTAGGGGGCGTGCAGGAGGCAGTTGATGGATATTTCTCTCTCATCGATGTTTCTATCTCTCTGTTCTCCCTTCCTCTCTCTAAAATCAGTTAGAAAATATCTATTTTTAAAAACTCATGTACTCGCCCATCTTTTTATAAATAAAAGGCTATTTTTAACACAAAAAAGCAGGAAGCAAAATCTCATAATATATAGCTCTCTAAATCCAATAAAAACTCACAAAGTTTTCCTTTTTCTCCCCTCCGTTCACCTGTGTTGGTTTTAGATTCTGTGTTTGGGATGCACAACTGGAGGTGGTGAGGTGCCATTTAGGGCTTTAAGCAAAGAAGGAAAGTTGATTTAGGGTTTTAATGGTTTACACTTGGGCTCTATGGAGGTTGAATTTGGAAAATGAGAGGAATGGAAACAGATCAGCTTAACTTTTGCTGTAGTTCACGTGGTGGGACTTATGTTATTTACTTGAGGAGGAGGATGAAAAAGAGGTTAATTCTTTTGAAAATTATTTCTAGAGAAAGTGAGGTATGATTCAGGAGCTCCTCCTGACAGCTTGACTTCTTTTACACTAACCTAAGGAATATACATTAATTCAGCACACTGAGTGGGCACCTCGGGTGGGTGAAGCTCTGCATTTAGGATGTGAGGATGAAGATATGGTCCCTGGTCTCAAAGACCTTGGAGGTTAGGTATTCTCTTGTTTTAAGTAGTGTCATTAAATTGTTCTAAAATTCCCGCTGCTGTGTAAACAGTATATGTCACTTTGTCTTTTTCTATTTCAAAGAACTGAGCAAGAAAACCTTTTTTATAAATTGTAATTGCCCTTTGACCCAGCAATTCCATTTCTGGATAGTTATCTTATAGATTTTTCCCCCTAGAAACTTTATTCAGTAAATGTCTTTGTATATCCCCCCCTCCCCCTATATTTCACCTAGCTAACTCATATTGCATTTTTTCGGCTTGATTTGTGTGTTACTTACTTAGAGATTCCTTTCTTGAGTTAGAATCTGTACCTTTCAGAATCTGTACTGTCACATCGTACCTGCTGCTTCATAGACTTTGTCTCACTTAGTAGTATTCGATGTCTTTTCTATGCTAAGACTATTAGTTCTGTATTGATGAATCCTGTGTCCATCTCCTTCAGTGCTTTATCTCTAGGGCTGGAGCTTGCATGGTGAATAATGGATTATTTCATATAACACATTAAACAGCTTTATTGAGATATAATTGGCAAAAGGCTCCACATATTTAAGTGTATAGTTTGGCAAAATTTGACATGTATACACTCATGAAGTCATCACCACAATCAAGATATAAAACTTAGCTGTCATTCCCCGGAGTTCCATGTACTCCTCTGTAACCAGTCCTCCATTCCTTTTCATACTCCCATCAATTCCTAGGCAACTGCTGATGTCTTTCTGTCACTATATGTTAGGTTTTTTTGCATTTTCTAGAGTTATATTCATGGGATTATACAGTGTGTATTCCTTTTTGTCTGTTGTCTTTTAGTCAGCATAATTTGAGTTCATCCTAGTCATATTGAG